AAAAAGATTTAGATATATATATAATTATATATATATATATATATATATATATATATATATATATATATATATATATATATATATATATATATATATATATATATATATATATATATATATATATATATATATATATATATATATATATATATATATATATATATATATATATATATATATATATATATATATATATATATATATATATATATATATATATATATATATATATATATATATATATATATATATATATATATATATATATATATATATATATTACATTTACCTTGGCTGCTTCCCTTAATTCTGGGGGTAGCCGACATCAGTATAGAAACATTAAGGGGATATCTTTGCACTATGGGTAATGATGAGATAGCTAGCGACCGTTTAGATAGTACTGCTGGAGTGCCACAGCCCATCCTCACGGTTCTTCCATAACTTGTGTCGTTTCACAACTGCTAACTCCCCTACTGCCCCTACCACTGGGCTATATATGCAATATGCAGCCCTGTGGTAGCAGTAGATGTCCATCAGAGCTGTGTCACAATCGCTCGCCACTCATTCCTATTCCTAGCACGCTCTGTCATTCAATGCTCTCCATACTCCAGCCATCCACCCAAACCTAAGCCTCCTTCTAGCATTTCTCCCATCAACTCTCTCATTCATCACCTTTTCCAGCAGTCTCTCATCATCCTTACTCTCCACATGGACAAACCAATACAGATCATTAATATCTACTCTGGCTGCCAATTCTCTCGTCACAACAGTTCTTGCCCTCTCCACTTCATTCCTAACCCTATCCAACCGAGATATACCAATCATACTCCTCAGGCCTTTCATATCAAACACATTTAGTTTCCATCTCTAACTTACTTTCATACTCCATAACTCTGATCCATACATCACAGTTTGTAGAACCACTTTCTCATAGAAAACTTTCTTAACATTCATTTCCAACCCTCTATTCTTCATCACTCCTTTCAACGAACCCAACACTTTACATCCTTCATTTACTCTGTGACATACATGTGCTTCCACTCCACCATTTGCAGCTATTACAGAGCCTAAATATTTAAACTGATCAACTTCATCAACTGTCTCTCCATTCCACATAACATTCAATCCAGCACTATCCCCATTTCTTTTACACCTCATGACCTTACTCTTTCCCACATTTACTCGTATCTTCCTTCTCTCACACTATTCCGAATTCTAACACTAACTGACACAGCTTCTCCTTTAAATCTGCCAACACCACAGTAACATCTGCAAACAGCAACAGATTCAACTCCCACTCGTTATCATCCCCATCTACCTTTCTGAAACCTCGACAACGCACTTGCTCATTCACCTCTCTTACTTAAGACGAACAAGGCATCTGGTCCCGATGGTATCACTGCAAGGCTCCTTAAGGAGTTTGCAGATGGACTGGCTCCCATGTTTTGCCGTTATTTTCTCCTCATTTTGTCAACCAGTATCTATCCTTCATCATGGAAGCATACTCTAGTTCAACTTTTTCCTTTAAAGGGTGACTGCTCTCTTCTTTCAAACTACCAACCTATTGCCCTAGCCTCCTATTTTGCTAAAATTTTCGAAACTTTGCTCAGTGCTCACCTCTTGAAACGCCTTGAATCTAACTCACTTATCTCCGATCACCAGTACGGCGTCCTCAAGGCAAGATCCACTGCTGATCTCCTGTCCTATATTACTCATGTATGGTCATCTTCTCTGAGGAACCATGGGAAATCCTTTGTCGTCTCCTTGATATCTCTAAGGCTTTTGACAGTGTCTGGCACAAGGCTTTGTTAGACAAACTCCCTGCCTCTGACTTTACCACTTCTTTCTGTTCTCTAATTTCCAATTTTCTTTCAGACCGTTTTATTTCTGAAGTTTTTTATGGTGCGACATCTGGCCCTTTCTCTGTTACCATTGGTGTTCCACAGAGCTCTGTTCTTTCACCTACTGTGTTCTTTCTCTTCATCAATGATCTACTACATCCCTTTCTTCCTCTCTTCTTCATGCCTTTACTGACAATTCTACCTTTCACTTTTCCTCTGCCTTTTCTTCACAACCTTCATCTGCTACTCGTAATCAGACTCGTATCACTCTTTTTTCCTACTCTCAAGTCTAATTTGCACAGGGTGTCTGAGTGATTCATTTCTTCCTCATAACCCTATTGTCTTAGAAACTAACGAAATTTACTCTATTAATTCTATCATCATATCAGGAATCCATATATGCTCTGACTTGTCTGGGAGGAAGCACATTATCCAAATTTCTAAATCTTGATCCCAAAAATTGCGAGTTCTGTTTCGTTTTCGTCATTGCTTTTCCTCTGTACAGTTACTTAAAATCTATAAAAGTCTTCCGTCCCTGCTTACAATACTGCTCACACATCTGGAGTGCTTCTTCTTATATTATCTCCTTCATAAGGTTGAATCTTAGGCAGTCAGATTCATTAGTGATCTTTCCCTTACCTCTAATCTGGATTCTCTTTCTCTTCACCGTTATATATTATTCCTTTCTCATTTGTATCGCTACTACTTTCATCGCTGGTCTGATGAGTTGGCGAGTTGCATCCCTGCCCCACTGCCGTGGCTGTGTAACACTTGCCAAGCAGCTTCACCTCACAGGTATTATGTGGAAATTTGTAGCTCGTGGATTGGTCGGTGCATTGACTGCTTCTTCCCATCGTCCTCCAGACTCTGGACCTCCCACCCTCCCGTAATGTGAACCAAAAAGCATTCAGGCAGAATGTATTCATTCCTAATATAGCAGTTAAGCTATAAGATTGGTTTCTCTTTTAGACCTTCTGTGGTATAGTTGGTAGCGCCTTGGCACAGTAATTATGTGTCCTAGGTTTGAGTCCCTGTCGGGGTAAAATATGATTCATGTTTTCACATATGGTGATGTGCTTATTTAATTATTGTTGATGCCAAATTAGATTGAGATTTGAATTAATGCGAAAACGAAGCCACGAGTGATGTTGGGAGAAACTGTAATATAAACATATAGATATTCAGATAGAATGCGCTCATTCCTAATATAGCAGTTAAGTTGTAAATTTGGTTTCTCTTTTAGACCTCCTGTGGTGTAGTTGGTAGCGCCTTAGCTCAGTAATTATGTGTCCTAGGCTCGAGTCCTGGTCGGTGTAAAATTTGATTCATATTCAATAACGTTACTGCTGGGGAGGGGGCAAAACGATAAGGTAATTAACAGATAAAGTGTGGATTCAGCAGCGCTTTTTTACAAATGTGCTGACTCTAAACATCAGGAACTTGGAATTTTTTCACAATATGAAACTTTGATGCTACTCCGCAGGAATCTCTTGCTTGTTTAAATGACTTTACCAAATTACATATGGCATATTTGTAATATATTAACTAAAAATGGTTGAATCAGTGATTATCATTAAAAACTTGAAAATCTGTATATTCTTGTAATAAGGAATATTATTTAGGTAATTGGCAAGCACGTTTAGTAACCATATATGTACATAATTTAAAGATATTGGCAGTCTTATAGTATTTTTCAATATTACGGATGTTATCAGGCTAAAGATTTTAAAATTGAATTCCTTGACACAAAACACTGTAAGAATAAAAGTGGTTAGAACACATTATTCTAAAGACGAATGACCTCGATCATGCCCACCACGGGGCGTTAGGAGAGACATGCTGCCTAAATTCCAAAAGTCCATGTTGTCTTTGTACACCTCGTAATGGAGATTCAAAATGACACATAAACAGCATATAACAACGCTTTATTTTTGAAGAAGCTTGTATGAAATTTTAAAGTTTGTGTACTGCGCAAATTACCAAAGGCCGAATGGGAGACGTCTATAGACTAATGAGAAGTGCTCCATCGTTAAAAAAAAAAATAGATAAAAAAATACAGTCTATAAAAATCCCTTAGGAGAAATAGGGAGCCATGATTGGCCCATAGCTTAAAGAGAATGAGAGTCTAGTGTTTCCATACTTCCTACCCCCAAAGTGTTTTAACGGGTGAGTTTATGAATATGAAATGCTGAAGCAGAATTTTATTTTTTCAAATTACATCTCACCATTGTAGGATGTATTAAAGGTATTACATTAACTAATGCCTTATTGTTAATATCATCATAAATAATTCGTATTTTAATCCATTACTAAATTTATAATGACTTATTTTATATATTATTATGTAAACAATCAGTAGCTGATTTGTAAGCTTATGAATAGTGAAGTTATAAAGATGAAATTATTGAAACATATTTAGTGTATGCCTGAAATGTTTATTTGGTTTTGGATTTCACACAAACAAATATATATATTTGAGATTAGTTAATCTTGCTCATATGACCAAATGATATACTTTGATTTTGATTTATGTAAATAATTTACTGTTGTGTCATATAGAATTATTAATGATGAGGTTTTTTTTGGACTATTTTTTTTTTAACCATATATTTTTATTCTGCTATGAGGAAAATTAATTATCTATAACACATTAGTTTTGAGGAGTATATCCTATTTATCCTATAGATCTTTGTTATGTGCTATCATTTATTTTTTACTTTTCATTTTTCTCATTTTAACACATTATCATATGCAGTGTATAGGAAGCCAAGTTGTTTTTTCCAAGTTGCCTTTTTTCCAACTAACTAGTAATGTTCTATTTAAAGAAGCATCAAAAACAGGTTTTATTCATGCTTAACTTTAATGCTTGTAATGATTATTAAATGTAAAATTTACTACAGGCTTCACTACTCAATTTGATAAGTACATATATAGTGCATTTCACATTTATAATATAATGTTTCAGATATTTTTCGTACTGCATTTTTCTCGAGTGAATAAATAGACATTACCGTGTTGCGTAATGCTTGTGTTTGCTATCAATAATATAAATAATTGTACTTTACTTTTCCTTTAATAGCAGATGATAATGATAGTAATTTTTTTCTGTTTTCATTGTTGACCTCAAACAGGAATGGAATTAATGATTTTCATACGGTT